TATATATTAGCTATATTAATAGATCAAAAATAGATGTAAAAAATTTGTTTCTATTGAATAATCTTTTTGTACTTGTTACTTCTGTAAATTCGTTGATTATTACTAGGTAGTCAATGTTACAAGAAATTAAACAATTTTATTACATATTTAAATAACATATTTTAAGAACAACATATATAGTATACCATGTGAATGTGATAAATTTTATATTGTTAAAATATCTAAGCAGTTAAATGTTCGAATTAAAAAAAACATAAGGATTATTTAAAAAAGGGCTATTTTTGCAAATCTAAGATTTGTCAGCATTCATAGGATGCAAGGCACAGAGTAGATTTTAACAACTAAATAATTATGATGAAAGAACTGATGAAAACCTCTAAACCAAAATAAAAAGGCTTTTTAAAAAAATAGAATCATTAAATTATAAATTAAGAAAAAAAATAATAACAAAGAAATGGTAATCATATAATTAGAAATTATGAAGGAATCTATACTAATATATAAAATCCTTAAGTGACTCACTCACTGATTAATCACGATCCTGCTCAAACCACTCAACGTAATAAGTTCAATTTTGGCATACAGGTTGATTCTAGGGTGTAGAGGTTCGATAAGAAGAGTTTTTTCGAAATTCCAGTTTCAAGGGGGTGAACCGTTTCCCTTCAAATATTACAATATTTTTTATTTAAAGAACGGTCAAGTTTTCGGAAAAACGCTTAAACACGTATATTTTATTTTGTTTTTCTACATATTTTAAGATTTTTTTTAAATGTATACAGGGTGTTTCGAAAAATCTGGTCATTGATTAATCACGATCCTGCTTAAAGCGCTTGACGTAAAAAGCTGATTTTTGGAAAACGGATTTAGTATAGGGTGTAGAGGTTCGATAAGAAGGGACTTGAATTCTAAGGGGGTGAAACCGTTCCTCAAATATTAGAATATTTTTTATTTAAAAACCGGTGAGTTTTTCGGAAAACTCTTAAACACGTATATTTTATTTTGTTGTTTTACATATTTTAAGATTTTTTAAAAATTTATACAGGGTGTTTCATAAAATATGACCATTGAGTAATCATGATTCTGCTTAAACTGCTTTGTTGGGTGTAGAGTTTCGATAAAGAGGGGTTTCTCGAATCTCAAATTCCATGAGGGTGATGACCCTCAAATATTACAATGTTTGTTATTTAAAAAACGGTTAGTCTTTCGGGAAAACGCTTGGACACGCATCATTTATTTTGTTTTTTTACATATTTTGAAATTTTTTAAAAAATAATACAGTGTGTTCCAAAAAGTTGGATAATTTATTAATCACGATTCTGCTTAAACTGCTTGACTAAAAAGCTTATTTTTGGCAAACGACTTTTTCGAAAGTCAAATTCCAACGAGATCAAACTACCCCCCAAATATTACCAAGTTATATAATAATATCGCCATATTGTTTTTTCTCATGCTGACATAAATGTGAGAACATTTTATCCAGTTTGTATGTTAATAAAAATTCTTGCTTTGCTTTATCATCACCATTACAAATGATTAGTTCGACGCCAGTTCGTTATACCAGTGAAACACTATATACATATTGATTTACTCTTACATTTTTCTGATTATATACACATTTATAAATAATGTATTACTCAAACCTCATACAAGCGTATAAATCTGTATTACAAAACAGAGCGCACTGGTTTTGATTCCTAAACTTTTGCATCGAAAACTGAGACAAAGGATATTAAAAGCAGATTGACAAAATATGTATGTATTCTGTTTATGGTTCCTATACATACAGTAAAACTCCGGATTTGGCGTTGTCAATCGATGCCTTTGATATGGAAAGTGTTTCCCTTTCAATGGAGATCCTTGTTGCTTGGTATCGATTTTATTCTTCAAAAGTATATTTAGTATATGATGGGAGCCCCAGAAAAATAATAAATCATAGAGACCTTAGATGGCGCTTACTGGCAGGTGGCGTTAAGAAGGTTATAGTTATGTTTATATTAACAAAGTGACTCCTCTGCCGGCGCCGGTTCCCTTAATGGTTGCCGGCTCCTGTTCTGAAAGAACGGCGGAAAGTTAAAACAAACCCCTCGCTATAGCTAGTTTTCCAAGAGCAGCTGTGGCTCAGTGACTGAGGCCATCGCCTCTCGTGAACGAGAGGTCCGTGGTTCAAATCTCACGCCCGACAATAACTATTTTATTCTTCTACAACTGTTTTTATTTTAAAAAAAGCTGTGAATATTTAATAGCAATCAAAATACGGATTGCGATGGTGGCGCTCTTTTTGGTGGGGGGGCGCATTAGGCGCATTATACAAAAAAAATTGAAAATTTGGATTTTTTTTGAAAAATTTTTTAGAATTTTTTTGAAAAATTTTTTAGAATGTTTCTTTTGTAAAACTACCAGCCCTGAAGATATTTGTACTTATTTAAGACTCATCCTGTATAACAACGAATAAAAATATATAAAGCAACACTCACACAAGAAAACTATTGCAAAAAAAAATCAAAATTTAAAAATGACAGTTTTTTAAAATTAATTTTTACTTAGATTTAAGTAAAAAATAAATTATTTATTTTTTAATCAACATTTGCATCTTTTAATGTGTGTTTCTTTGCTGCAAATATTCTGCCACCATAAACACATCAACCTAAATATAGAGATAAATACAGATCATAACACACATATACGACACATTTCTGTAAATTTTGATTGATTAGTCTAGTAAAATACTATATTAAAATTTCTACTTTTAGCATAATATATTCTTTTTGAAAAACAGATATCAGCATCTACATTTAATATTCTGCAAAAATATATCAATCATGTGCGACAACTTTAATATTTCGATTTACAAAACGAATAAAATTTAAATAAGTATACAAGGTGGTCTATTATGTCAGTTTTTTTGTCAAAAACCTAAATCAGAGCCTAAATGTCTCAGATTTCAACTAAAATATGCTTACTGATAGCTCAATCTAGGTAGAATTGACTGCCGCAAACCGTTTTTCGATATCTGTAACAGATCTTGAGTTATTTGAGAAAATGTACAAAAGAAATATTTTTTTCACTTTCCGAAATATTTAACAACGAATTTCTCTGGAACAAAAAGTGTATATCTCAAAAACGAAACGGTTTTGTAAAGTGCATTTTCAGGACTACAACATATTACGAAATAAGGAAAAACAAATTTTCAAAATTTTTTGAAAAAATTCCTCGGCACCAGTTGAAAGAGCCATATAAAATAATACTACTTGTATCTGCGAAAGCGTTAAAAAATTTGAAATACTCTAAATACAAAAAATGTTAATTCTTTAACTCTCCATCTAATAAAAAAATAATATACATTGTTTCCGTCAAAGAATATTATAGTTAACACAGAATTATCTTTGGTTCCGTTAAAAAAAAGGAAAATTATTACACAGGGTGGTCCGAACTGTATTCAGGAAACTTCGTCATGTTCTTTAGATAAAAATAAGTAAAAAAATTTCATTTAAATGTATGTCTTAAAATGCTTACTTTCAGAGATACAGGGTGCAGAAGCTTTATTTTTATTTTAATTTTTTCTAAATAATTTCTGAAATAACGTCAATATTTGGATGAAAATTGGTGTATAGGAGTATTTTGACATGAGAAATTTGATTTTGGTATCAATATGACTCCTACTAGTAGAGGGCGCAACCTACATGTGTTTTAACTGTTTTGAAGCGTAATAACTTTTTGTCCGTACCTGTGTAAAACTACCGAGCGAAAAAATATACATCTCCGTGACTTTTTATGTAAAAAATATCTCTTTGTAAAAATCGCTACGAGCAACCGTTCTTAAGACATTTAGAATGGAAACAGACAATACATGTCATTATTGAGGAAAAATAAACACGTTGAGTAGATAGTTATTTCAATGAAATAATAAATTTAGGAAAATTTTTATTTTTAATGATTAATTTATCATAAATTTTTCTGCAAAAAATGATGATAAAACAGTTTCTGTTGAACTTTTGACACAAAAACATTTCAAATTTATGATTTCACTGTAATAACTATTTAGTATAAATATGTTATTTTAATGTCAATGATGACCGGTATTGATAATTTCGATTCCAAATATCTCGAAAACCATTACTCGTAACAATTTTTACCAAAAGACCTTTTCCACCTAAAAAACGTCGTAAATGTATATTTTTTACTCAGTAGTTTTATACAGGTACGGACGAAAAGTTATTACTCTTCAAACCAGTTAAAAAATATGCAGGTGGCGTCCTATATTAGTAGGAGTCATATTGACATCAAAATCAAATATCTCATGTCAAAAAACTTCCAGATACCAATATTTTATACGAACTTTTTTAATTATTTTTATCTGCAGAATATGCTGCCGAAGTTTCCGGAATACAGTTCGAACCACCCTGTATATTTTAGAAAGTTTGGCGTAGAATTGTAAACACCCTGTATGATTTAAGATTACGATATTTATAGCAAAGTATGTATAGACCATCTAAAGTAAATACTTAATATAGTTTTGATTTCAGAACAGGTTTTTGTATTTTTAATACCTTTTTTTAACAAAGGCTGAAAAGTACATACTTTTTAGTTTTTATTTATTAATATCTCTGAAACTATCCAAATATATTTACTCATATCTTAGGATTATATAAAGTGACCTGAAAGGAAGCCAAAAATGCAATAATATAAGGAAGCATGAAGCCCTAATTTTTGTTATTAGGAAAAATTACCCTTTTTTATTTAACAAACTTTACTAACTTATCTTTTTTAACGACATTACTAATTTCCATTGTTTTGGCGGATTGTATCGAAAATCGGCCGTGGAAAACGTTAAATATTAAATAAGAAGAACTATAGTACAAAATAAAACAACAAATATCGTTAGTTATTAAATATTTTATTAAAAACTATCAGTTTAAAATAAAAAATGAACATTGGTTTAGAAAAACCTTATATATTACGTAAATAATTTAAAAAAATATTGAAGTCCAGAGAATTTTTTTATAGTTATTCAATTATAAAAAGTCAACAATTATTTCTCTACTGCACTATCCCTTGTAGTCTTCCGGTCAGCACTCGCTCTAGGTGAGTACCGTCATAATAAATTTTACCGCATTCTTCGCATATATAGAATATGTCGTAATTATAAATTACGGGCAGTGGAACAAGATCTATTTTAATCGGTATTCCCAGTTTCGTCTGGCACCGTTCGACGTCGATATTTTCATCTAAAACAAAATAATACTATAATATTTAGTACACTTCTATATGAAGAGTATAAATAAAGCTGGTGGTACCTAGTAGCTAAAAATATAAATAGTAGAATATTAAGTTATATATATTATATATATGTGATTAATTAATTAATAGTGGTTTGACATTGCTTTTAATTAATCACATTTCAATAGAATATTAAATAAACACGGTAAACGTACTAGGGATGAGCGACACCGTGCTACTTTTACATATCAGTAATTAAAAAGTATAGGAATAAAACTTTTGTACAAACAGAGTAACACACCTCATTCGCTTCGGTTGATTATACGAAAACGGAAAGATGAAGAAACAAAATTTTTTATAGGTATATGTAGAGAGGCAATGTGCATAATTTGAAATTATTTTCAAATGTACAGGGTTTGTAAGAACTAATATCCATACCAAAGTTATCTTTTTTCTTATGGAACACCCTGTATTTTATCTCATTTTTTTATTCTTGGGCATGAAATAAAGCATTTATTATAAGGGTTTAATACGTTTAGATGCTTTTTCGAGATATAAGATAGTTAAATATGCATGATATAATAAAAATGTTTGTCAACACCCTGTACATTACTTTTCAGAGTTAATTCTTGTGCTGACTTTCAAGCCAGAAAAATAAACTTTTCTAAAAAAAATATTGCTTCCTTAAATGTATATAGGGGTATCAAAAATTGCTGGTCTATTTTAAATATTTATTTTACATAAAAACTTCGTTATTTCAAATACAACACGATTTATTTTTTAAAATAGGTCGAACCAGATTTAAATGCTGTTTCAAACTATATTGGGGTTTTCTATACCTATCTGGCTCAGATTTTGAATAATTTTTCGATTTTTTCAATAAAATGGCAATAAAGATGGCTGGTGTCGCCATGGCAATTTGCTAGTGAGAGTTAGTAACTATTTTCAAAATCGACATTAGTTTATCGACTTTATTTAAATTTATAGCAGTTTACTTTTATTTAATTTACCTACAATAATTTAATAAGTAAGTATTTATTATTTTATCAAGAAAAATAAAGAAGTAATCCTTTGATTTATATTACGATGACTTGTAGACATATGGGAAGCCAATTAAGGCAAATTCATTTTCTTCACTTCCAACGACAGGTCTCTGCCTAATAAGTTTTTCATATACCACTATCAGATCTGCGAAATAGGTCCTTCCGCCAGCAGATACTGCTTCATTTTTCTTGATAAAATAAAATAAATACTTAATTATTAACCTTATTGTAGGTAAATTAAATAAAAATAACCTGTTATAAATTTAAATAAAGTCTATAAACCACTAAGCTACTAAGTGTCACTATAAAATTGCCATGGCGATACCTCGGACAGTGTAGCGTGCCGCTTTGATCTATTTACGCTCGGATTTACGATTCGAAAGAGGGAGAACACTAGAGCGGCGAGCGGTGGCTGACCTTGAAACGAGTTTTTGCTGTATATAGTCACAGATACTACGCATGCGCACATCGTCAATGTTGCCAGATTGCAGATTATTTTGGAATTATTTTCAGTAGAAAACAAATAATGTGTTTCCAGCGTTTTTTTATCAATATATACCGTATGATCGAAAAAAACGGCGTCCAGTTGGCTGGGAAATGGCGATCGATGACATTTCCCATATAAATTTATATATAAAATGACAGCGATTTTCATTTCATAGCCATCGCTGACGCCATTTTTTTTCGATCATACGGTATTATTTTGGTATTAATACGTGAAAGCTAATTATGTATTTTCATAGACAATAAAATTAAATAGAAATAAAACTCTAGATTGCTATATTAATCTAATTGCTCTAGATTATTATGCTACGTTTAAAAAGTGCTTTATTAAAAATTCAGAAAATTAAAAGGGATGTGTCCAAGTTTCTTCTTTTTTTTTTGAATTTTTAAATGCTGTAGCTCCATATCATGTCCATAATTGGTTTTATAACATTCCATTAAAACTACGTAGGTCTTAAAAAGGTCTCCGTAATTATAACTGTAGCAATATTAATAGTTACAGAGTCAGCAATAGTAAGAGGTACCTTGTTTAATTCTGCTTCTACATATATTGCATTAATTCTGCAACCTTAAGATTTTTCTATTCTTACTCCTAATTTATGTGATTTTCTTAGCCATATATGATTTGTAAAGAATATATTTCCTAATGGAAGGATTTGCAAGTATTAAGATATCTTAACATTTATTCTCCACATCACAAAGCATAATATGTAGTATACAGGGTGATTCCTGTAAGTCGGTCATGCTTTCGAGGAATGATAGGGGACGTCGAAATATCAATTTTGATATAGCACACTATGGGTCGGAAATGCCTCTTACGCAAGATACAGGGTGTTAAAGTTTTTGAAAAATTAAAGATATTCTTTAATAATTTTTTAACAGTTGAAGGTATCGTTATAAAATTTTATTATAGGAGTCTGCCTAACAGAGACACTTTAAATGTAAAAAGAAGAGGTGTTAGTTTCAACCAGTGGCGTAGCTGTGGTACGCATCGGGTAATATTTTCAAATAAAAAAATAGTACGCCACTGATAAAAATAAAAATTTCGGAGGTTTTTTATTTACTCGGTTTATTTCCAAGAAAAAATGTCTCTTGTAACTTTCTTCTATCTAACACCATTTTGTCACAATTTAAAAATAAATATCTTTTAATGAGAACCTTAAATAATGCGAATTATTATAACTACCTTAAAACTACGAATTTTATTAACAATAAAAAAAAATTCTAGTTTAAATTTATAATTTTTTAAAAATTTATTTAGAGCTAATAGTAAAAAGTATACTAAAGTTACCCATGATGAAGGGAGCTAACGATGCACATGTGTTTCTGCCTTCTAGTTATAGTAATTCGCTGTATTTAAGATTCTCGTTAAAAAATTTATTAATTTTTAAATTGTGACAAAATGGTGTTAGATAGGAGAAAGTTGCAAGACACATTTTTTCTTGGAAATAAACCGAGTAAATTAAAAAACTCCGAAACTTTTATTTTTATCAGTGGCGTACTATTTTTTTTTAATTACCCGATGCGTATCACATCTACGCCACTGGGTGAAACTAAAACCTCTTCTTTTTACATTTAAAGTGTCTCTGTTAGGTAGATTCCTATAATGAAATTTTATAACGATACCTTCAACTGTTAAAAAATGATTAAAGAATATCTTTAATTTTTCAAAAACTTTAACACCCTGTATCGTGCATAAGAGGCATTTCCAACCCATAGTGTGCTATATCAAAATTAATTTTTCGACGTCCCCTATCATTCCTCGAAAGCATGACCGACTTACAGGAATCACCCTGTATAGGTATTAAGACATAAAAAAATTATAAGAAATATCTTAATATAAATCACAAACTAACTCAAGTTTTAATTGGTCTGTGTTGTAAATCTAATAAGATCAAAAATGAACCTTCACGATATTATCAAGATTTTGGCATTACAGGAAAGAAATTACAGTAAATTAAGAAAAGAATATTTAATTCTAATGTAAATATATGAATAAATATTATTATTACAATATTATATAACTTATAACTCCGATTACAATCATAATACCTTAACTTCATAATCTCCATTATCCTTCTTACCTTAATTTTTGATATCAAGATAAATCTGAAATCATAAAATTAATTATAGAATTTGTATTATTATTCTTACTGATTAACACTCAAACAACATTGGTTTTCAACTGAAAATAATTCGAAAATAAGCTGCAAGTTGACAACATCAACGATGTGCGCTTGCGTAGTATCGATGATCAAATGCAGCAAATATGGGCTTCAAAGTCAGCCACCGGATCCACACCTTTACTGTTCTTATTAATATTCTTTTAGGTATAATAAATTCTAACTTTTGCGTAAAATTTTAACAAAAAATACATTATAGGAAAATTTTGACAAGGATGGTTGAATTTAATTGTCTGAAATAATTTAACGAATTTACATAATATACTTTAATTTAAGGAAAATTCTTAAAATTGTTCTGAAAAATAGCCTCCATTGAGAACACTAAATAAAAAATGGTAACTTGGCATTAACAAGCCTCCAAATAAGTGGTCTTTATCGTTTTGAAAAGCTCTAAAGTGTGAATATACTTTTGAATTGAACATTAATTTTGAATTGAATTGGAAATTAAACACTATACTATACTATATTTTGAATTATTTCCATAATTATTTATGTAACCAGCAGCCGCACATCCCGGAAAACCTTTTCCCATTCCAACAATAAAAATAAAATTGAAATAAAAGCACTAATACCTCTGGTTAAATATAAGAAAAAAAAACTAATTAAAATCTTCCGTAATACGGCCCTACTCGTCACCGGTGGAGGTTATGCATCGACTGAATGAGACTGACTGTCGGTCGCCTAATTCAGTTAAGCATCGTCGGAGTGGGGCATAAAGTAACTAAAATAAAAGAGTGTTTGAAAGGTTGTCTAACTTGGCCATAATGTTGCATAGTTCAGTTAGGGCTCAAAAGCGTCGCCACCTGCTACCTGTCACGTGTCATGACAAAATTGACAAGTGAAATGACAGCAAATTATTTGTATTTTTTTTAGTCAGTGGTATTTTGCAATTGTTTACAATTTTGTTTTGAATTTTGGAATTTTGTTATTATTTTGTGTAGCAAACGACGCTTTGTTTGTTTGTTTTGTGTTTGTGCGTACAGAAATTATGGAGGAAGTTTTATTTCCCGAGGAACCAGAGACCTTATATTTCTCTATGATTTGAACTTTATGTTTTGTGCTATGTGTTTTGCCGTCATCATGCAATATTTTGTTCAGCCGATTGAACATCATTTGAACACGATCCAGGGAAAGGGTATCATGCAAAGCAAGTTCGATATGTAAAAACGTTGCCCATCTCTCAACTCCGTGAACGTAAAACGAACTGACTAGGTATAAATTTGTGCCTTCATTTCATAGTGTTGAACATTTGCTACCTCAACTGAACTTCAACTGCTG